GCATAAGAAAAAAATTGTATGCAAAAAGTGGTAGTTTTGAGTTCCAATCACTTTCCAGATCGAATATTTTTCTCCTGGCTATAATTTCGCAAGTCGAAATTATATCTAGTGTTTTTAATCACGATATTAATGAAATTCTCTCTCCCATGCGCGTCGCTTTCTTGAGATTCTTGAACAAGAAAGTGATGAGCTATGGACAAATCTTGATGTCTGGACAGGTCAAGCATATGAAAACAAAAGTTCGCCTAGGAAAGACTTTTCCTCAGTAGTTTAATGCAGCTTTTCTAGTCATTTGATAAAGCAGTGGAGCCTTAGCACTGAGCTCTATGAGACTTTCGGGACTAGAGTGAAGATCATAGAGGTTAAATACGAATTTCTGGAATGTCATTCGTTATTATAAAAGTTCCGAGAATCCATGCGATTCCGGGATTCCGGGATTTCCGGAATCCCACGGGAATCCCGGGAATTTCGGGAATCTCACGGGAATCTCGGGAATCTTGGGAATCCGGAATCCGCCGTTTCCCCCTTGAACTCAAGTCACTTATGCAAATATCGGAACTCTTTTTAATGTAATCTGTAATTACAATGTAACTGAAATGAAAGCAATGCATATTTATTGCTAGTAATCGTCAGTAAAGTTTGAGTAAACAGCAGACGGACACTTGGTTTTATTCTTGTCGAATGATCGTTCCTACTCGATGTTTCATATTACTAAAATACCTACTCTATGAGGAGTCCAGCTTTTGATTGGCTATTTTATTAGAAATTCTGAAGCGCAATTGAACAAAATTAATTACGATAGCTCTTTTTTTACATGTTAGATCGAATTCCTTTAGATACAAATAACAAAAGTATATCATAAAAACTCGAGAAATAGAGACATGCCGATGTAGATAAATAATACTTGATGGTCACTCCAAGTAACAAGAAAACCTGTCAAGTGTTGGCCTTATTATTGATGGATACACTGTCCATCCTAAGAAATTCAACTGATACAAAATATTTTGTGGTTTTTAGTATAAACTGAAGTTGCCTAGATTTGATTGAAGTTTTTGTTAGACTCTAACAAATTCAAGTGAAAATAATTTTTATTAATTTTATTAACTTTGGTTGTATGCTTTGGAAAACTTTTCAGAGAATGATTCATCTTAGTGCAGACTATGACTCAAAACCGTTATCAAGTAGAAAAATAAATAAATACGAGAAAGACTTGGAATAAATACTCCGTTATCCGGCTGCTGCAACTGATAAAGAAAACAGTAAGAAGAGAATACTGTTATAACCCTAACAATTATTTACCTTGCATTGTGACATTGACAATTCAATCAAATCATGGCAATGTCAATGGAGTGCAAACTTTCATAGTTAGATTAGCAGAATCTGGGAGCAGTTTATTTATTGGCAGGTTCTGTTCGATTTCTGTTGTGATCTTACTATGTCTTAGGTACACTCTTCCGTATCGATCGATCATACGATGTAATGCAAAAAGTATTTCAATTGCTTAAAAGACTGGAATTTCCTGAATCAGTAATGTCGTCGAATTTTTCAGTTAATTTCACTATGCATGAGAATCTAAAGCAGATGTTAGCGTTAATGTTAGATCACACTAACGCTAGATGATGATTTAGATGCGCTTTCTAGTATAACGGTAGTACATCTGCCCGGATAGCGGAAGGTATGGGTTCGATTCCCATGAAGGTCATCTTTCTCATCGTTCTGTCACATAACATCAGTGGCACTGCTTGTCTCTTTCGTTCTATATATATTAGAGCCTAACAGCAGAGTTATTCGGCCCACATCGCAAATATTATACGATGGTTTACCACCTCTCTGGCTAATCTAATAAAATCCTTTCAGTAGAGGGTCAGCGGCGCTTACGCCGCGTTACTTGTGTTTAAATTCTTTGAAATCACCAATGGGGCAATCAGTATCATCATTGCTACTGGGATTCTGTATATAATTTTCATGGTTCTTTGATTTGTGTAGACGTTTATGACGTCTATCAACAACACGTCTAGAATAAAATTTCTTCTTGTACATAAATCAATCATGTATCATAACCATTTCATCTAAATTAAAAAAGAAGACAATCATAAAAAAGCTTATTAGAATCGTAGATTGAAATATCAATTTACCAGATTACTTGAATGTAGAAAATTGAAAAAAAGAGTGAATTGTTAATTTGCTAACTACTTAAATTTATATAGTATGGTCTACAAATGAAATAAAACAAAGAACGCAAAATACAAAGGAAGAACGTAAAATAAAATGAATCAACCAATCCGGTGCTGTTGATGGTGTACACTGAATTTCGCCTAAAAATGTTACTCATTTAATGCGAAACGTTATTCCATCTATATACATTTGAATCTTTTTAATAGGATGAATTCTGTACATTTTATTTTTAAAATTTTTATTAATTAAAGATTACCAAAAAAGCCATCGGTTAACCGCGGTTACACGTCATTAATTATCGTTCCAGCTTTCGACCGATGGTTAACCGAAGTTAACCAGCAGTTTTCAAGTAAACCAGCGGTTACCGTCGGTTTTTTAGAAAAACAGACGACATGGGGCTGTATTTACTTTCTAAATGCATATAATTATTGCGACAACAGAACTGCATTCAATTGACCTCTTTCGACGAAGCATATTATTCGTCTTGGTTCTCTTAATAGTAGTTGTTATTATTTTGTTTGTTTGTCGTGGAATTACACCGGATTGTAAGGCTTCGTCTACAGCACAAAAGTAAATTCACATTTCAAACACCTTTAAAAAGTGTATTAACTTTTTAATGAATACCCATATTAATTCAATACAAAAATAAACTGTACTACTTTTCTATGCAAGTCAGGGTCTAAAAAGTTGTTCTTTTGAAAAATAGTCATTCTTGCACAAAGTCTGACGATTGAGTATTGAATTAGTCATGGATGAATTAAAAATAAATTATTGCTATTTCTATCTAGATTGATTTTCATCTTTACGCAACCTACAGTTACATTGCAAAATCAGACGCTTAATCAATATTCTCAAAATAAAATAAAATTGTCAAACTCCAGTTAGTTTCTGAATTCTGGGACAAACCGTGGCAACGGTGTGGTTTCTGTGGAACTACTGCATAGTCATTAATTTAAGGATTGGTACACTCAGGAAGTCCATAATTTGGTAAAAGATACATTATTATATTCACACACTTCTATTAACTCGATTAGACGATTTAGACAGTCCGTTTAGATACTATTTGAAGCAAGTATCATTAGGAAATCACACTTCGAAAAAAATTGTCATTCGGCTCGAATCAGGAATACAATTCCGATCGGATTGGTTTACCTGCCAAGCTGTGATTAACTCAACGATGGATTTGTCCACTAGTTCAATTCTGAAGAATTCAACTGAATACGTGAAAGTCAATAGCTCGCAGAAAAAAAATGAAAATGTTTCGACAACAACTCCATGCATTTCGATAGACGGTAAAAACTTTGAATTGCGCGAACTAGAGAATCGTTTGAAATATGGTTTACAAAAATGTAAAATGAAAGATATGACACAATTAGACGAAAGGATAAAGCGAACAGAAGAACGAATTCAACAATATGAACATGAGGATAGAAATGAGGAAGCTGAGAAAGAAAGAAAATATGTAAATGACTTAAAACAATTGAAAATACTTGCCGAAGAAAACTCTTCTTTACTTCTTTCGTACACAATCGACAAATTAGACTTGAGCGAATTAGAAAATCGATTGGAATATGGTTTCGAAAAATGTAAAATTAAAGATGTAATACAATTGACAGAAAGAATTAAACGAACAGAAAAGCGAATCGAACAGTACGAAGATGAAAACAGAATAGATGCAGCTGCGCAAGAAATGAAATATCTGCGCGACTTGGAACAATTAAAACAAATTGCCGGAGAGATTTTTTTTCGAAAATCGACTGAAACTAATTCGAAAAATGATGATAGGTTCAATCAGATGACTTCTGTAAAAGAAATAGTAGACAGTGCAGGATATAGTAGCACCTTCCATGAAGAAAAAGAGAAGCAAGAGGAACTGAAAAATTTACTTGATGATTTAGTTGATATGCCTTGTTGTGCTGAGAAAACTATCGTGGAACTGTTAGCGCATTTTCAACAGAAATTACTCACACATTCCATAGGTGAAAAAACGCCCGATTCAATAATTTTGACATTAGAAAAATTACAAGGTCAAATTCAAAAAGAGGAACTATCTTCAGAACAAATAAGAAATTATTTTCAAGATTTAAATCGAACCGTCTATAACGAAGATTATTCATCGGCAATACGGATATTAACAAAAATCTTAAAGAAAATTAGACCTTTATGTCTACAGGAGATACAAAGACTCGTAGAAAAGACGAAAACAGCAGCTACATTAATCAATAATAAAGACATCACTCTGTTAGTAGGTGCTACTGGTTGTGGAAAATCGACGACAATTCAGTTTCTTTCTGGTGCTAAGATGAAAGACACGAGGGTAGAAATCGCTCCTGGGAAGTTCTTAGAACATATAACAATAGATGGACCTATTAGGAATCCTGGATTAAATAATGTGACAAGTAGTCCGTTGAGCAAATCTGAAACTCGATATATTGTACCTGTTACAATACAATTGCGAGATATTTTCGGTCATTATGAGACCGGAGAGATTATTCTATGTGATACACCAGGTTACGAAGATACGGAAGGTCCAGAGGTAGATATTGCTAATAGTACAGGAATTGTTGAAGCTCTCAACAATTGCAAAAGTGTCAAGATACTTGCTCTGACAAGTTATAGAAGTTTAGGAGATAAAGGAGAAGGTATTCAAAATTTGGCACACCTATTGAATAAAATGATTAATCGAATTGAAGATAGACTTTATGGTATCTTATATGCATTTACAAAATATCCTGCAACAATGGATATTCATGCAACGTTAACTAGTATTAAAAGTTCAAAACTAGATGTAGATCCAATTTTAAGATCAGATCATGCTTTTGTAGCAGTATTAACAGATATGATTGATAAAACTAAACACTCTACTGAAAAAATTGATCCCATTCATGATGATCCGAAAATTTTAATTAAAAAACTCAATCGTCTAAATGGTATTTGCTATCCCGATGAAGTTTTTCGATTTTCCATCAGTGGAGAAACACAAAATACGATTTTAAATCATGTACAAACATGCAAATTGAGTATTGTGTGCGCAATGAAACACAAAGACATTGATCTTTTAGTCTATTATTTTAATAATTTCAAGATCTTAAATGGCTTGTTAAAGGAAAATTTTGTTCGAGATGCATATGAAGATTCAATACGATTTGTAACTGAGACGATTGAGCAGTATAGTCACGATACGATGAAAAAATTTAATCGTAACTTGTCTAGTCAAGATGGATTGAAAGATGAGGAAATAGAAGAATACAAAATTGCTTATAATTATATGGAGAAAACTGAAAATTTAAGAGAACATTTGGGATCAACATTTTTATCTAGTGAAATATTAATTGAAAACATTCTTTGTGAACTTGAAAAAATAAGTAGTACTTTGAAAGAACAAGATTTGTGTAGTTCTTCAATCGGAATATATTTAAATAATATTAATTTACTTAAAAATTCGTTCAAGCAACTTGAATCACATTATATAAAAGTATGTCAAGATTGTTCCGAACGGTTCCAATCAACATTGATAGAATCCATAGCAGAACTAATTTCAAAAAATGAATTTCAACGAGTAGCTGAAAGAATGTTTATCATATGGAAATGTTTACCTGTTTTAAATCATCATTTAAATGGACAAATCGAGAAAAACTATTGTGATATTATTAAAATGATTTCACAACATTTGATTAGTTTTTCTGAAAAAGTCAATATCATTTTGATAAAAATCACATTGAATAATAATGATATAGAAATTCTTAAAAATTATATGATATTATTGAGAACAGCTGAAGAAACAACTTTGCTTCAAGAACAAATTTCAAAATATATAGAAATCATGAAAGCAAAAAATGAAATTTCTATTGAAACAATAAAAGATTTGGGTCAAATTCACGAAGAATTTATTTTAAAAATTGTCACATATTTTGATGAGATTAATTCACGGATAAACGATCTTTTGAAAAAAGATTTTTATTATACACTTGAAAATGTTGAACACTTAGTTATGCAAATGGAAATGATTCGTACATTACCAAATATTGAATCGAAAACGGTCCAAACATTTTACCAAACTATACAAAATATTTGTAGTTGTATTCAGCAAATGCAAAGAAATGCCGAAGATTTGCTTCATACTCTTGATTGTCAACCAGGAATGATCAATTTTAGATATCTTGCACGATCATTACTACAGTTGAAAAAGACTCAATGGATCGATCGCATTTATCCCGGTACTTATGATTTGACGATGCGTCATATTAGAGAAGAATTAGAAGAACGTGCTTATCAACTAGAAAATAGTTTGAAAAAATTGGATTTTACTCTAAAATCTCCACAAAATATTCTTTTAGCACAGAATATCATTGAAAAAATTGAATCACTGAATGTATTAGAAAGTACCATTCCACAATTAGAGAAATATCGACAAAGAATAAATCAATATTTTATTCAAGCTACAAACGAAGTTTTCGATCAAATTAAAAAAACTTTTGATTTAACAGATAAAACAATAGATCATTTTAAACAGGAATTAATCATACTAGAAAAAATAAAAAATGAATATGATCATTTTTATCCATCTCGTTCTTATTTACGACAATTTGGCTATACAGATATAAATATATTAAATCTAGATATTGAAAATTTAAAATTTCAACAAGAAGAACAACTGAAAGAAAGAGAACATGAAAAACGTCAATTGGAATCTCAATTAAATGATTTAAATAGAACTATTCGACATAATATACTTTTAAATCCATTGAGAGCATATTTTGGAATGATTCATAGATTTATTTCAAACATAATAATTCCAAATCAGCAACATGAAACTCAACTAAATCAATATTTGAAACAAGTGCGGTATGAAATATTGAATAAAACTATGATGAAAAATCAAGAAGATTATAATAAATTATTAGAATTGATTGAACAAAAGAATACAGAATTTAATACGACTTTAAATCATCTTGAATCAATCAAAGAAGAATATCTTTCGTTATTAGCTTCAAGTAATTCGATTTCTCCTAACGAAATTGATTTTCTACAAGAGAAAGGGCAAACGACTTATGAAATACTTGAACAAACTATTCAAGTAAAAACGAACATTCTTATTGAATATGAGAAATATAAGCAAACATATTATTTTACTGACAAATTAAATGTATCTGTAGCAAATAATGCATTGATATACATGAGTAACTGCAAAAAACTATGGCGTCATCCTGTCAACGAAGTATCAGAGGATATTAATGAGTTTTTGAGAAAGTATTTAGAAGAGTATGGTAATTTTCTCGACAAGGAGTTCGAGAGAAATTTTACCCATATAACAAATATTGATGAAAGTTATTGTAATCAATATTTAGGAGATTTAGAAATTCGTTGTCAAGAAATATCATCTCTCGATAGCTATTTATTTGTTTTCGAAAGTCTGCGTGGAGCCGACAAAATTGATCGTTGGCATCGACAATTGTTCAATTATTATCATGTTCTTGAGAATGAAATGGAAATTTGTAAAATTTCTGGTAGATATCAAGAATTAAGAACTTTTTTGATGATCGCTCAATCTTTGAGCCGTTTAGATTGTTTTGGTAAAATTATAGTTGCAGATAATAGATTTCGACATTTATATAAGCAATATCAAAATGACATTGCCATTGAATCGCGAGAAGCTTATATCAGGGTAATAGATTGTATATCAAACGGAGATTATTCAAATGCAGATCTATCATTATCTGATTTTATTGAATATTCGTCCAATTCGAAATTCTTAGCTCATATTAAACATGATTTAGAGAGCTCTTTGAGTAAAGTGATAAAAAATACCAAAAATTGTGCACATTGGCTTGATGGAAGAATCGAACGGAAGGAAGATAACAGAGCTAAAATTAGAGAAGTTAATGAAAATATTGAAAAAATTCAAATAGTTCTAAATCGACATTCCATTATGACATTGATTGATGAAAAATCAAAAATTATTCTTCTAAATTTTCAAAACGAAATTAATGAAATTTTATCGAAAGCTATTTTAAATGGAATTCATAAAATTCACATGTTTATCGATCAGAATAGTTTTCTTGAAGCTGAACATTCGATGGAAAATCTTATCCCTGCACATAATGGATTAGTCGATCATTTTACATCAAAATTTGTAAGTAACAAAATAGAAGAATTAAAACTAAGATTGAATACTCTAGATACGGATATTTTACAACATTATGATTTTGTAGATACTAATAATTATTCTATGAATCCACCTAAAGATCTTTTAGCTCAATTAAAAAAAGTTGCTTCAAATGGTTATCCGAGATATAATCAAGTTTATAATTCCTTAATGGGGAAAATTCGAATAGATTTTGATCTAGCTATAGATAAAGTTCGTGTAAATTCTTTGAATGATCGTTATACTAAAATACAATCAATCAAATATGCATTTCTATTTTTACCAGAAGAATTAAAACCCATATTTCAATTACAAATCGATGAATTAAACTTGTTGAATATCGATGAACAGACCCCATTTGAGTTTGATTAAAAGAGATCTGTTAATAAAAAAGATCGATATGAGAAATATCAGACGTATGAACAAGTAAAAAAAAATATTAAAATATCCTCCAATAAAAAAATCCATTTTTTATCGATAAATATAGCTTTTCGTTATTGTACTTTTATCAAAAACAAGTAATTATGAAACAGTTTACGAAGTGAATTGTAATAGCCACTTTTTGACTCAATTATTTATGGATTCGCTTTTCCTTACGAAACTAATGTGTCATCTCTTTTCGTTCTTTCTTTTTCTTATACTTGCTCAAACTAAGTGATTTTTCTCATTATTTTTTTAAAATTCTTATTCATAGTGAATTGTTTTATTTAACGAGTTTTGTTCGTTTCTTTTTTATATTAACCATGGGCTGCGACTCGGCCTATATTTTCTAAATTTTCAAAAAAGGTCCTATTTGTCCTATACTTTCACAAAGAGCTTGTTAGCGCAGCCCCTGTGGGGCTAAAATGTGGAACTCACATATACTGTAACTGCTAGTAGATAATTTAGTACATTGCCCTATGTAATGAAACATGTTTTGAAGTTTGGATGAATTGAAATGAAATAGTAAAGGATTACTACCAAGAAAGTTTGATCTCCTAATTATGAGAAGTCAAGGTTGCTAAGAAAATGTCAAATTTTGTTCAAAGGTAAATTTTGATGTCGTTGGATTTTTTCGATTTTCATAATCATTGAAGGGGGGATCTGTGAGAGGTCTGTAAGGGGGTAATCTAATTAGTCTAATTGCTTGTTAGCTCGTCGTGTTCGAGCTTTTTGTTTATTTTAGATCTATATCGTTTAACACACACACATATGTATATATATAGAGAGAGAGGGGGAGAATAACAATGGCAATATGGGCATAACAATGGAGAGATATGTAAAGACATCGAGAGGCAGAATTGAGGGTGAATCATATCCGCTAACATTGCTATTTAGCACAATTTTAAACTAATTAATGTCTGTAATGGGGAGGGGGGAGGGTGGGGAGCCGCAAAAATCTCGCTTTTAAACTTGCACTCACCATTTTCTTCGAAAATATATGTGAGTTCCACAAAATTCCTATTTTTCCTATATTTTATCGAAAAAAGTAGAAAATTTTCACCAGATTCGCCTGTGCCCTAAGGGGAAGTACTTGGATCTTTGCGGCGCTCCCGCCGCAGTGACCTCTTTTTACGAAAAAACCAGCAAAAGGGAAAGCTATTTCTTGCAAGTAAAGCATATGAGTGAATTGCAACTTTTTGGTAACTTCTATTCGCGCCTAAAACTGAGAGCAGCCTTAAACAGTTTTTGAGCAGAGCATTTTAGTATACTCGATGCCTATGTTACGCAGCAAAATGTTCCCAACACTTAACTACATATTAGCTGGGATATGACTTATTTCAATGCAAATGTATCATAAAAACCGTTTATTTAATGAAAAATATCATTTGGCATTGTATCATAGTTTGTAAAATTTTCCTTAACCCTTTCCGGCCCGCTGTTTGGAAATTGCCGTGCCCCCCTAGGGGAAAATGTTGCCATATGGCAACACCGGGCCGGAAAGGGTTAACAGAACGAGATACAATGCTGAATTTTAAACCGGTTATAAAATTCTAAGAAATGTAATTTCAGCAAAAATTTGAGGGAAAACGAACAAGCCTTTCACGAGTTATTCATAAAGTAATTTTCAAGAGGTCAGTCTATATTTCGTCGTATAGTGTGAATTTCTCGTGAACGACAAGAGATAGATGGCTGAAGTTTCTACCGGTTATATAACTCTGAGAAGCATATTTATGATGAGAATTTGAGCGAAAAGGGATGAGTTGTTCAAAAGTTATGAGCGACGAAATTTGTAAAAAGTGAGTCTATAATGTGACTAAAACTTGAACTTTTAGAAAAAGATCGTTTTCTTTCAACAAAGAGAAAAGTTGTTCACGAGAAGTCTTTTTTTATCAATTTTTTCCCGCTCGACAGCCTTTCTTTTGAACACCTTCCTGCTTCTTCAAGTCGTAATCAGAGGGAGAAAATTACAAAATCAGGTGAGTCTACATGAAAATGAACAAGTGTGTGTAATTACGTATTCGAAATGCATAGTTGTGAAAAGAAGAAGAAAGAAATACAAAAGATATATCATTTGAAAAAGTGTTTCACGCTGAGGGCGTGGGTGCAGGGTGGGGGTGGAGGTGGGGGTGGGGGTGGCGGGGGGTGTGGTAGTGTGGGTCAGGATGCGGAGGTGGGGGTGCGAGTGTGTGGTAGTGTGGGTCAGGGTGTGGAAGTGTAGGTTTATGCGTGAATCAGGAGTCATGAACACTCACACCACACTTCAGACCCACACC